ACCCCATTGCATGTAGCTGGGGTCTCAAACCCAGGCTGTCAGCTCTCTAGTTGACAAGCTCAGGGTCTTTAACTGCCGAGCCATCGCACCTCCCCTTACAAAAGCAATACCTACTTTTCAAAAGTAAAAAGTACCTACTTAAAAAAGTAGGTAGACACAAAATGGCCCTTGCTAGAAAGAACTGTGTCATGACATTTGTTATTAAACGTAGTTGTCCTGTACGGAGCCTCCTTTTTTGTTTTTTCTTAGAACTGAAATGAGTAGAGTTTTAGGCATGAGTAGTTCTACCCTATTTCACTCCATTGTTCTTTTGCCGCAGACTGTTTACTGAGTATTCCACTCAAGTTGCACTCAGTAAAGTATGAAGAAATTCCAAACTTAATTGCGGAACTGATACTTGCACCGTTTGCTGAAAACCGTGCTCCTGTTCTTTTAAATGTTGCAGGAATATAAAGCAAGGCTACATCAGCAGTGTGTGTCTGCTGAGCATGTAATGTAAGAAGTCGTAGCCTTTGGTATGATCTGCTCATAATTAAATTAGACTTCTCAAATTTAGGGAGAAAGCATTCTTTTAAGAGATCGGTTGCCTCATCCACCCAAATTGGTATCCTTTACTTGGATGGATTTTGTCTGTGCAGGGTGTCAGAGACCTGGGCCAGAAGACGCCAGGCTCAAAGCATGTGCTCTACCATTGAGCAATGGTCCTTTGACAAAAGGTGAGGAAATTCAGCTTTAAAATGTGCCCTTGGTAGCGAAGGCTTATTCCTATTTCTCTCCCTTTGGGTTTATTTGCCCTCTCTCATCAATTCTGTGCTCTTTTCCTCACCTAATATAGCGACATAACAACTGTGGGCATTTGTATACCAGCCTCTTTCTGTGCATGTGTACAGAGGTACAAAAACACTATAGAAGACATATTTCATTTTGTTAAGTATAAACTTAACTAACAACAGTTCATGTAGTGACCGTTTGAAGGTACAGCGGCACTGAAAAAAATGTCTTATGTCTGTTTTTCCACATTTATGACCGTTGCAGCATCCCCATGGTCAGGTGATCAGAATTCAGCCACTTGGCAAACTGACTCATATTTATGATGGTTGCACTGTCCTGGGGTCATGTGATCAACTTTTGCGACCTTCTGACAGGCAAAGTCAATGGGGAAGATGCATTCAATTAACAACTGTGTTGCTAACTAGACAATTATAGTAATTCATTTAACAACTGTGGCAAGAAAGGTCAGAAAATGGGGCAAAACTCACTTAACAAATTTTGAGCTCGATTGTGGTTGTAAGTTGAGAATTTCCTATAACAATAACCTAACAAAGAGGGGAGAGAAAGAGATACTGATCTAATGTACATTGAGAGCGAATAAGGTGGTATTTATTGCATTTTGATATGGATTCAGGACTTTAAAAAAAAGATATGTGCCTTTCCTGTCAGATACCATACATAAAAGGATTAAGAATATATTTTATATAAAAATGAGAAGGTAGAAATCTGAACTTCATAAAAAAAAGAATCTGGATGTGATGATTTTTTTATAGGAACAAAGCTCTGTTTCTGAAAGTATTAAAATGACATTTTCTAGTACATATGCATTTATAATATGCATAATCATTAATATTTTAACTTCTTTTACACATAATCAAAACATTCATACAGATGTGGCACCAAATTCTTGTTTGATATAATCAGTGGAAACTTTATGTAGGCTTACTTCACTCCACTCTATTTGATGTTACTTTTATATTTTAAAATGTAAGTATAGTTTACATTTCTGTTTCACAGTAAAACCTGCATCTTATATTGTATATTGTACTGTATAAGCTATATAAAATACTTGTTTACAGACCAGAACTGCAAAGTAATTACCAGCTTTAAAACAAAGTATTACAACTGCTCATTTGAGATATACAAGAATAAATTCAGAAAAATGTGAGGACAGGGAAGAAAATATCTTCATCATTTTCATGCCAGGCTCCAAGTATATTTAAATGAATTAATCCAGTATATCACAAATAAGAAACTCCTTGGATCAAGAACGTGTTTATATATCTTCATTCCTTTGAAAAATGGCATAAATTTTATAAAAATAATAGTAGATAAAAGCATTCTTGTGAAGATGAAGAATAAAAAACAAGAAGTACATGAAACATTTCAGTATTCTTTTAACTTGATTTATAGTATTTGAAACTGGTTCATGCTTGCATAAGCTGGTTAAAGCCTCTTTGATTTCCTTCCTTCTGAATAAATTCTTCTTGTTCATCTGAAAAAAAGAAAACAAAAAACTTAAACTCACTCCTTTTATGTTTGTTAGCACTGAGGAGAAAACAAGCACCTTGTGTTGATTTTGCGGCCTTATCAGATTTACCAATTGGGCCAGGTGTTCACAGGTTTCACATTGTTCCAAGTTTGCTAGTTAAACTAATTTTAATCTTAATCATGCAACAACTTTATTGATCTCGGGCCACAGAATTGTACGTAAGATTTTCCCAAAAACACTGGAAGGCTGTAATTTCTTTTTCTGCAGTGGTTCTATATTTGGCCTTCTCATGTTACTCCTTCCAAGTAAATGTTAGTTCAGTGGTGGTAAGCTATGCTCCATGGAATCCTGTTTCTTGGACATTTAACATAACCTGGGGGTGGTGGGGAAGTTTGCTCTTTAGGACTGCTAGATGGATTTTAGAACAAAATCTCCAATAAGCTTGGCTGGCAACTTAATTAGAAATGCATCATGAAATATAGGCTCTTTTATGGGGATTGAGATTAAATGCACAGAAATGTCTACTCAGATAATTCATTAGGGAAAGGGTTTCCTGAAAAATAAAATAAAAATCATGCATGGAATCGCCTTTCTTTTTTTAAAAAAAAATCTGTATTTTGAGTGTCAAGACTATGCTTTCTGTAAGATGACAATGTTGTACACTTTCCTAGCCTTTCCCCTGTTCTAGGGATGTGTGATCATTGAACTATTTATATTTATATTCAGAAAGAAGCTGAGAAACAGTGCTATCTTTTTGCTGAAAACAAATCCTCTTTTTATTTTTCTAATATATTACAAGAAGTAGATAATTACAAACAAACCCAAGTTCTTACTTTTCAGCCAGTGAACAAAATGTATTTTGACTGCACAGAGAATATGGCTGGGTTGGTTACAGATTATGATTTTCAGTAGTGAGAAAAAGAATGTTTATGACAATTTCAGTACTATTCCATTCATTATTTCAGCATAACATAGATTCTACAGAAAAGTATGCACAATCCCGCCTTTTACGTTCACTCAATCTGAAAATAAACCCTCACACCAGGGCCTTCAGATTAATTTCTAGTTTTTCTGAAACTATGACAAACCTTGTCCAACCGCCAGGAACATTTAACATGAGTTCTCCCAGAGGAAAACAGCCATGAATATTAGAAGGAGAACGAGAGCCAGTTGGACAGAAATATAAACTAGGGAAAAGTGGAATATTCTCAGGAAGAAATAACATTTGGGACGACTGGAAAATAGCCACTTTAAATTGCATAGGTTATATTTCACAATGAGTAAGATGGATAAAGGATTGGTGACTGAGGATTTTCTTGGAAGGCTCTTGAAGGTCTGAACAGTTTTAGTAGGGAGGGTGGAGGAGACAGACTTACGTCAAGCTGAGCTCCTTGGAGAAAGGGTAGGATATAAAGGTGATAGATAATTTCATATGGCTTGCAATACGTGCCATATTAAGAGGTTACATTATAATGAAACAATAAATTACAAACCAAAAAAGCAGTTTGCACCTGGAATTCTTAAGTTCAGGAATTTTGCCTGGCAGATATACTCCACCACCTCTCATCACCTGTATTTTTTTTTGTAATTGGGTGGCATAAAATATTGTGAAGTAAAGAAAAATAAAACCAAATATTAAAAATATACAGTAAAGAAAGAACAAGAAAGAACAGATACAAGACAGCAAAATCCTTCAAAGCCTCTTCAAATTAACAATAGATATATTCATGCAAGAGGCTTAGAGCTTTTTTTTTTCCCCTCCATGAATTGGTTTCTAATGTGAATGTAAACCTTCCATTGGCCAAAGTGTGCATTTGAATTACAAATGGCTCTCTTTCTGGTTTAAATATTCCACTTTGAGAAGGATCTGACATTCACATAAATAGCCTGTGAAAAGCACTCTAAGCCTCATGTGTGGAAGTTCCCACAGTCCCGCAATATTTTCAGGCATCCTGAAATGTATGAATGGCAATTCTGTAAAGGGTCAGCCCAGCTTCTTAAAACAATCCGGGATATTTTAGGAGTACCCAGAAAGAGTTACACTATTGACTTAAGTATGTATATTAAAACTGCAATACGACAACCACAGTAAATTCAATAGATCTTCCTTATGGAGGTTAACAGGAGAGGCCCATCTCTCAAAAACCTTTAGTGGCCACACATGTAATAGTAGACCATGACTGTCAAGGCCACCTCTAATCTGAATTGCTTTGGCCTACTGATTAGAATCCATTGGTTAAAGATGAGTCAGAGATCTTTCAGCATGGCATACGCACCATGGATTAGTTGCACATTTTTTTTGAAGAGTTTGCTAATGTTAAATGTACCCAAGCAAATACCCTTACAGTCTTATATGATGTGCAGTTTAGATGTAGGACTGCCAACTTTTAGTCTCAGACAGAAGGAACAAATTCTCTGAAGGAGGACTTTGAATCACAGAGGGTAGGGATATTTGTGCTTTGCCAAATAATTCTGTTCTTTGCTTCTTTGCCTTCCCTGTCATTTTCCACAATGGAGCAGCAGGCACAGCCAGCTTTCCCCTCTGGTAGGCCAAATGCAATCCGGAGTTCCACTAAAGTCTTCCAGTCAGGATCCAAACCTTAGAAAAGCAAGTAATCCTAGCATGTAGCAATTGTGTTGCAAGCAGGCAGGGTGACAATAGCTTTGGCAAACTGGAATTCTTCATAGTACCCCTAATAGCAAAGCAGTTTCCAATGTTTCCTTCTTTTTACTGCAGTCCCTTCTGCTGTCCCTATGATGCATCAGGTGAGTCGCACCCCAAGCAGCATCACTTTGTCCTGGCCACAGCCTGACCAGCCAAATGGAATCATCTTGGACTATCAACTGCGCTATTTTGACAAGGTAAACTGGTGAAAAAAGTCCAGAGTTAAAAATTAGCATTTGAGTTTGGGTTTCAGTTCCAGTTTTGCCATCTATAGCAAGTTTACGCAGTAAAATTTAATAATTACAACTGTTGTGGTTCCTAGTTCCAAGAAACTAGGACTGGTCCAGAAAAGTTGTATCTCACCTACTAAGTTCTCAGCAGCCATAGAATAGTTGTCGGGTTCTTTTAGAGTAGGCATGGGACTTTAAAATCAATTTAGGATTCTGGAATAGACTTCCCCTAATTTTTCTTCTCCTGTTTAGGAAGTGAGCATGCTACCCTTTTATATTACTAAAACAGTTGGGAAGCTGCCACTACCACAGGATCTCATCTTGCATCATTCCAGAAATAAACAAAGCAGAAAGGACCCACATGGGAAGGATAAAATTCCGTAGCTTCTAGACCAGAAAAAATTCATTTCCTGAATGGGCCACTAGTGTGATGGAAAAGAGCTGCGTTGTTATTATTGCCCACCATATTTTCATTTCAGGGTGCTCATGTTACCAGGATGGGGTGGATAATAGTTATAACAAGAAAGAGTCTTAAGAGTTTATTGGAAGCCATGGGTTGTACTGAAAGGATGAGTCAGGCAATCCATCCTTGGAACATTTTTTCCCCTTTCCCTCATGCAAAACATTTTTATTGTTCCTTTAGCTATCCATCCTCGAGAATAAAGGCAGAAGTAGTTGGTAATTTGAATTATTAGTTCAGGAGTTTGGGCAGAAAGGAAGTTGACTAAATAACAAAAATGTGGATGCATCTGACAAAAGACCATTGCTGAGCATTGCTGAGGTTGCTGAGGTTGAAGAAGTGGAAGTCTATTGATCAACCTGTATTGGTTTCTAGTCAGAAGATGAGGACACTTCATTCACCTTAACCAGTGAGACTAATATGGCCACCATCTCCAGTCTAAGCCCAGGGAAGATATATGCTTTCCAAGTACGAGCCCGGACAGCAGTGGGTTATGGGCCCTATAGTGGAAAGATGTATTTCCAGACTCTTGTAGGAGGTAAGTGACACATCTTCTGAGTTTCCAAACCTAGATTTTTCAATACTTCTCTCTCACGCTCATACTTGCTTGAACAATTTTCTCTTTTTATTACTCTTTTGCTCCTGCCTCATAAACTTTTTATAGCCTTCACATACCTAACAGGTTAACATATACCTTGAGTCGCCATCTGCTTATGTATTTTCAAGTGTTGTGTCATTTCAATATGTGGCAACGCTTAGGCATCTAAGACACAATCTAATGAGGAATTATCCTGGACAAGCTTCATCATTTCAATGTGACTTTTGGAGAAGAACTGTTTGGTCAGTTGTGACCATGTGAATTGCATATGTGTTTAGCCAGAGAGATAAAATCAATTGCAGGAGCTGTGTAGAAGTACTTTTGAAGAAAGGAAGGAAGAGCTTTGGCGAAATTGACAATTAAAAGACCTGATTTTTTTTTAATTTTAAAAATGAATGAAATAAAGTGGCATAATACAACTGAAGTGTGTATGTGTGTTAGAAACAGAAAGAAAGGCTGAGAGATTTGAAAAGTCTCTTATATTCTGCTAGATGATAAAGCAAAACTGCATGGAGGTTTTGTTGCTCAGAGAAAACCTTACATGGAAAGGGGACCTGATGGAGTCAGCATAACTATGACCCTTCCTGTTCTACACACTCGGATGCTTCAGACAGGGGAAGCAGGGCAATTGGTGTCTGAAGCTCTTAACAACATTTTGAGAAAGCTTGTTCAAATGTTAAGACTGTATTAGAGGGTTTCATAATAATAAAGATTATATATAAGAAGACAACAGACTGCCTTCCTTCTTTGACAGGTGAGCGCTCTGAGATGGTTCAGGATCGGTTGCCTCTTATTGTAGGCTCGGCATTGGGTGGACTCGCCTTCATGGTAATTGCTGCCATTGCCATCCTGGCCATTGTCTTTAAAAGGTAGGTGTTCTGCTTTCACCCTCGTAAAGATATTGTTGATTCAACACAAAACTATTCCCAAGTAAGGGAGTTCAGTGTGATTTTGGAAAGCTGCTTTCAAACAGGAATCCCATTATGTCCCGGAACTCTTATCGAGAGAGACGGTCTGCTATTTTTTCCCATATTATATATATCATCTGCAGTGTTACATATTACACAAGATCATTTGGAACCTAGATATGGTATGTGTGGGAAAGAAGGCATACCATTCTTTTTTGACCTCATATTCAGACCTTGAGATAATTGGAGAAACATGACAAGGTTAGGATTAGGGTTACAGTTATAGAAGAGCGCCTTTGGTCAATATGTCAATTGTAGACATACTATTTCTACTAATACGTTTAAAGGAAGACTGTAAACAAGGGATAAACAATATGTAGGCTGCTTTTGGCAACCTATGTGCAGTTCCACAATGTCCAAGGTACAAACCTTTGAACCCTTTTTTTTAGGGGAAGGGGAATGTTAAATAATGGAAATGATCTATTAAGCTTTGCTGGGCTTTAAAGCATCCAGAACATTCTTAAACATTACCCTTCCCTCCAAATGAGCTACATTTTTCAATTTTGGGGATAAAGGAGTAAATAGATAAGCCTGTGGAAAATTTGTTGCTACTATAACCCCACGACCCATCCACTGATAATGTATGTTTGGCCAACCCCACTTGCTTTGTGACATTATAATATCACCAGTCATGTGACTCCAAGCCTGAAAAAGAAACATCTCCACTATAATTCAAAGGCAGGCAATCTCCAAGTTTAGTCTCCAATCTAATTTCTAACAGCCCCTGCAAGTAATCAGTTTAGATTTCTGTTAAGAGTTGTCTCACCTTTACCTAGCAATCTGCCACTTGGTGAGACAGAAGTTATCAAAAATAGAATAAATAGGGTGTGAAAAAAATAATGGGTTCCCTAGTCACTATTTGTTTCAGGCCTAATCACTATTAGCAAGTTTCCCCAAATAAATAAAAATCCCCATCTCTGTTATAGATCAGTTTAAAACTTCTTTAAAATAGCGAATAAGCAAGCTATTTGAAAGTAGAATCTTTTAGTCTTTAGCTCCAATCGTCATTCCAACTTCAACTGAAATCTGTTACTAATTTTTGTTTAATCACCAAATCTCAAAACTAGATATAATTATTCATGTAATCTAAAGGCTATTAAAGCACACTGGAGTTCCAATCAAATCCATTTCATATCCTTACTTGGTACTCTGCCCAATGCATTGAAAATCTTGTTCAAAATGCAACTTTTAGAGATGTATCATAAACTCTGTCACCGAGTGAATAGTCATGGTCTCCCCTTTATAGCATCTAACTGGGAATATGGGCATAAATTGTCTTTATAAATGGATATGTGTTTCTGAGTATCAGAACAAATGGTAAAAAGTGCACAAATTGAGCCTATGTTACATCTGATTATCATATAAATTCCCAGTAGAATTACTGGTGTCACTTCACTGTTCAAGTGTCCATTCAGTACTTAAGAATATCATAAGAGCTCTGCCAGATCAGACTAGCTGACATTATGTTTGTACTACATAATTTAATTTATTATTCCTCTGTACTTCCTCCATCTTTATTGAAAATTGCTTTAGGGTTTTATTAAAATTGCTTTTCAATAAAAATTCAAAGTATTTTGAATAAAGAAATATGTGACTTATTATTTCCAGTATTACAACAATGCTCCCCTAAACCAGTGGCATATTTTACGGTCACAGCATTGGATGATCAAATGGTCATTTAGTGCAATTTTCTGCTAAAGCTGAAAAAGTATTATGCTGATATTTTATTGGCCCTTTTGTGAAGTATTTTATTTTGTATCCTACAATCAGTCAGTTGAAGTTCAGATTTAGCTAGCATAAAAAAAAGAGAACAATCTTTTCTCTTTCTACTCTGTCCTCACTATGAGTAAGTTTCTACATTCCTTCTGATTCCTTTACATTGAAAGGAAGTTATATTTAATATGACCTACGCATAACCTATGAGCAAACATAGAATGATTAGATATTCATGATCTTCTTCCCCCTTCAAGTAAAATCCCACTATAGATTGCTTCTACAATATCGAACATGATTTTGACTGCTCTTGCCTGCATCTTTTTCATAGTTCTAGAAGAGTCCTTTGGACCTGATGCATCTAACAAAATCATCCTATCTTAGTTTTCCTTTTATGTTTTCTTCTTCCACAGTAAGAGACGAGAAACTCCATACACAGATCGCCTACAACAGTACATAAGCACTCGGGGTAGGTGATTGAGAGTCTTCCCTTTCTTTAGCTGCCTCTTCTCTCCAGCTCATAGCTGATTCTGGAATCTGTGGTCTCCCTCGCAGGCCTTGGGGTCAAATATTACATTGACCCTTCTACCTATGAAGACCCCAATGAAGCTATTCGGGAATTTGCCAAGGAAATTGATGTGTCTTTTGTCAAGATAGAGGAAGTCATTGGATCAGGTAATGAAGCAATATTTTCTGATTTAATCTCTGCTGTCTTATTTGCTCCTTAGCCCTATTTTTCAGTACAGTTGTTCTCACTTGGAACCTCAAACATAGTTAAATCTCTCATTGTGACCTCTTTTTTGTTGGGTTGCAACTTACCGATGTTCACAAGGGTCCACCCAGTTGTCAGATGTTCCTCCCATTTATCTGGTTTTATTTATCTAATAGAACTTCACTCAACTGGCATTACAGCATCTTCACCGTGCAGGCTTCATCTTAGGTATTGGAAGAATTAAAAATGGGTACATTCTAGGAAAAGGAGTGTGTAACAATGTGCTGTGCTTCAGATCCAAAACAGAAAAGATGCTTCAAAATAGATGGGTTGTATATGGTTGATGCCTCCTTAAAAAAGAGGCATATTTTTTTCTTTACTGTATTCTTATTTTTCTTCCCATTTCTCTTTGTAATTTCCCTTTTTTCTTTCTTTTCTGCATCTTCTACTCCTTCTTTATATTCTTCTACTTTTCCAGTTTGTATTAATTTTTACCGTTGTACCTAAAATCTTTAACAAAACTATTATAAAAATGTGTCTTTTCCTCAGCTCGCATATGTCTCAGGAGAATATAAATTTGAGGTAAGGAGGCACTGACAGCTCTTTCGTGCCTGCTTCAAAGCCCTTGTTGCACCCTGCTGAGAGCTTGTTAATTTAACTGCATATTTTCCTGGGATTGCCCACCCCCATTGTAGCATTTTTCCCCCTTTAGATCTGAAGCTCTGCACATCCCTAGAACTGTGCAACAATGAAGGAATGCATGGAATACTCTTTCCATGTAGACTTTCCCCATTATTTGAGAAGGGGCAGAATTTTATTCAGTTCACACCTGCTGCTGAAATAGGATGGGGAAACATTTCCTCATGATGTAATCCCACACTAATGCAAAATATATACAATTATCAGAATTACAAAGGACAGAGCCAGTTGCAGAAAGAAAAAAGTAAGCAGTATTATATAAGAAAGGTGTAGAGGGGTAAGAAATATCTCCCTGTAAAGGGTCTGGTACTCTTTTTGGTTAATTTGGTCTAATGGTTAAGGCACCAGGCTAGAAAACAGGAGACTCTGAGTTCAAGTCTCAGCTTAGCCATGAAAGCCAGCTAGGTGACCTTGGGCCAGTCATTCTCAGCCAACTAACCACACAGGGTTTGCTGTTGTGGGGGAAATAGTAGGAGGAAGGTGTCTTGGATATGTTTGCTGCCTTGAATTATTTGTAAAAACAATAAAGGCAGGATATAAATAAAAAAATAAATAAAAAATTATGAGGGCTGAAGCTCAAGACTGAGCTCTTCTTGTTCTCTGACCTTCTTCGCCTTCTGAATGGCAAAAAACTCCTAGTCTACTGTAGCTTCTGTTTTCTTTAAGACAGAGCTTTAGAGCATTGGGTTTTTTTTGTGTAGTTGTTTGCTTGTTTCTATTTTTTCCAGGCAAGTTGCTTCTTGAGTTCTTAGACATGTTTTTCAAACTTGGCAGCTTTAAGATAGGTGGACTTCAAATCTCAGAATTCCCCAGCCATGCTGGTTGGGGAAATTCTTGGAGTAGAAGTCCACCCATCTTAAAATTGTCAAGTTTGATTAAAAAAAAAACTTTCTCAAATAGAGCAGACCAAAGATTGTATCAATTGTGAAAGTGTGTAGATTGTTCAGCCGAGCCTCGGAGGACTGAACCTCAATCAGTGCTCAGAACTTCGGAGTTTGTCAAAACCCTGTTTCAAAGATAAAAGAGGGAATTGCCTTGCCTGATTTGAACTTGGGCAATATAGTAACTTTACCAATGAAAATGAACTCCAGAAAGTGATGAAGGGCTTGGTTCTCAAATAGTAGAGCCCACAGTCTTACCTCCCCTCTGCACTTAAATTATGCAAGCACCAGTTCCTCCTCTGGCTGATGTGGTGTCTTTTCCATCCCTTACTCCTGGCAGGAGAATTTGGAGAGGTGTGTTTTGGCCGCCTGAAGCCTCCAGGGAAGCGTGAATACATGGTGGCTATTAAAACCCTGAAGGCCGGCTACACTGATGAGCAGCGGCGGGAATTTCTAAGTGAGGCCAGCATCATGGGACAATTTGAGCATCCAAATGTCATCCGCCTTGAAGGTGTGGTCACCAAGAGCCGCCCCGTCATGATTGTCACTGAGTTCATGGAGAATGGTTCTCTGGATTCCTTCCTCCGGGTATGACCATCTCGGTTCCCTCTTTCCTTGCCTGCTTCACTTCCCCCCTTTCATTTTACATCTATTATATTTATTACTATTTATTTATTTCAGTTACTTTTTAGCATTTGATTGATTGATTGATT